AGTCCACTGTGTATGGGGTAGATTGGTATAATGCGGTGAGCCACTTTCGCGCGTGTGGGGCACCTCGCTGAACCGTCAAGGAGGGGACGGCGTGCAGAGCGGCTTCGTCACGGCAACCTTCGAGGAGAAAAAGGTGATGCTCCTCACCACGCCGGTGTACTCGGAAGAGGAGGAAGGCGGTGCAAAGGGAGCGCTGCATCTTTGGTTGACCGACAATTCCCGCGTGCACGATGTTGGGCTGGTGTCCGCTGCCGGTGATGACGCTGCTGCCAGTTCCCTGCTGTACCGAAGCGGTGCGCCGGCGGAGGAGTTGATACTACTGTACGAGAAGAAGAATGGAGACTCTTACGGCCTCGTATCTCTGAGCCTGGCAAAGCAGCTGGAGCAGATCAAGTCCGTGGTGCAGACCTGGAAGGAAATGGACGCCGCCTTGGGTACATGCAAACCCAGTGGCAGCCTCAACCCGCGGATAAATGGCGTGTGCAGCGGCCCTGTTCCCACCAAAGGGCTGGTGGGCCTTTTGTCCAACACACTGGCCGGGACTGCGTGGGTGGACGAGTACCGCGGCGTGAACGCGACTGTGAAAGGTGGTGCTGAGGCGGGCACGGAGGGAGGTGTGACATTCAAAGGGCGTGGCGCATGGGCGGAGTGGCCCGTGGGAAGCAGGGGGCAGAACCAGCCTTACTACTTTGCAAACAACGGGTTCACGCTTGTGGCGACGGTGATGCTCCACGCGGTGCCGGAGGCGGAGGAACGCAGCTCTCTGCCACTGCTGGGCGTGAGGATGAATGACACGGCCGGTACCGTCCTCCTGGGTGTGTCGTGCACGCCGGACAAGAAGTGGAAAGTGACGGCCAGCGGTGAGATCCGGGAGTTGTCGAAAGAAGATGCAACGTGGGAAGCAGAGAAAACGTATCAGGTGGCACTGCAAATGGGTAAGGACGATGAGTTGTTTGTGTACGTCGACGGAGACGAGATATACGACGGCGAAGACGCCGCAGAAGCGGTAAAGACACTCTTTACGCCGCACAGGATCTCGCACTTTTACGTTGGCGGGGACGGGACGGAGGGCACGAAGACCAGCCACCACGTGACGGTCTCCAGCGTCCTGCTGTACAACCGCGCACTGGGTGAAAATGAGATCCGAAAGCTCGCAGGGAGCAAAGTGGTTCTTGGAGGACCAGCTGCCGGGAACGCAGGCGGAGAGCTGCAGGCGGCCCCTTCAGTGTCCACCTCTGTGGGTGGGGAGCCTGTTCCCGAAGTGGAGCCTGAGGACGCCCGCGGTGAGCAGCAAACGGAGGACGGCGGGGGCACGGAGGGTCTCCAGGAAAAAAGCGACGGTGCTGCTGATAAGGCGCCGGTGCGCGAGGAACGTTCGCCGGCGGAGTTGGGGGGTGGCGATGCAAATGCCTCTCCTCAGCAGCCGGTAAATACACCGCCGCATGCCACCAGGACCCCGAAAGTTGAGGGCGAACAGCCGCAAGAAGCGGAAGCGGGATCTGCTGGGGACCCGGCACCGCGGGAGGAAGACGCAGGAGTGCCGGACCCGGGATCTGCGCCGCAGAGCAGCGACGTGGAGGTCGCTTCAGAGCCCACTGGGGACTCCCTCCTCAGCTCCCCAGAGGAAAAACACCAACAAGAGGAAAAAGAAGCGGCTACTCAGTTATCGCAGGGAACAGACCGAGAAGCAGGCGAGGCGTCAACACCTTCTAACCCCACGCCCAACTCCGACGCAGAGGAAGCAGAAGAGGCGGAGGATGTAAAAGAAAAGAAGGAGGAGACGGAAGGCAGTGACGGTGCATTGGCGCCCCACCGTTGACAGCACCGGCTGCGGCCGGTGCTCCTCGCCCAGGCGCAACTGGGCAGGCCGTCGGTGCGGAAACCTCTGAGCGGCAACGAGGGCCCTCGCCTCCCGCAGACGGTGCAGCCACGGCGGAACCGGTGAGTGACGGCCAGGCGCAGCAGGGCNCTCCGTCGCACGTGCCGGAGGCCGTTGGCGGCGTGCCGT